GGGTGTTTCAGACTCTCCGACACGCGGCTCAGGTGAACGTGAGAGCAGTTCCCTCCACCCTTGCGGCCCAAGCGTCGTCTCCAGTCTGGGCGTCTAGCTTGAGTGTGTCACTCTGACTGTGTCACTCTGAGTCGCTCTGACTGCGTCGCTCTGACAGCGTCGCTCTGACTGCGTCGCTCTGACTGTGTCGCTCTGACTGTGTCACTCTGACTGTGTCACTCTGATTGAGTCGCTCTGACTGCGTCGCTTAGACTGTGTCGCTCTGACTGCGTCGCTCTGACTGCGTCGCTCTGACTGCGTCGCTCTGACTGCGTCGCTCTGACTGCGTCGCTCTGACTGCGTCGCTCTGACTGTGTCACTCTGACTGCGTCGCTCTGACTGTGTCACTCTGACTGCGTCGCTCTGACTGAGTCGCTCTGACTGTGTCGCTCTGACTGCGTCGCTCTGACTGTGTCGCTCTGACTGCGTCGCTCTGACTGAGTCGCTCTGACTGTGTCGCTCTGACCGCGTCGCTCTGACTGTGTCGCTCTGACTGCGTCGCTCTGACTGTGTCACTCTGACCGCGTCGCTCTGACTGTGTCGCTCTGGCAGCGTCGCTCCGACGGCGTCACTCTGACTGAGTTGCTCTGACTGTGTCGCTCTGACTGTGTCGCTCTGACTGCGTCGCTCTGACTGCGTCGCTCTGACTGCGTCGCTCTGACAGCGTCGCTCTGACTGCGTCGCTCTGACTGTGTCACTCTGACCGCGTCGCTCTGACTGTGTCGCTCTGACTGTGTCGCTCTGACTGCGTCGCTCTGACTGCGTCGCTCTGACTGCGTCGCTCTGACTGCGTCGCTCTGACTGCGTCGCTCTGACTGTGTCACTCTGACCGCGTCGCTCTGACTGTGTCGCTCTGACTGCGTCGCTCTGACTGCGTCGCTCTGACTGTGTCGCTCTGACAGCGTCGCTCTGACAGCGTCGCTCTGACAGCGTCGCTCTGACAGCGTCGCTCTGACTGAGTCGCTCTGACTGTGCCGCCCTCACTGTGCAGGTTCGCCGTGTTCTCCCTGGGCTCCTCGGCCTACCCCAACTTCTGCGCGTTCGGCCAGTATGTGGACAACCTGCTGGGCGAGCTGGGCGGCGAGCGCCTCCTCAAGATGGAGTGCGGCGACGAGATGTGCGGCCAGGAGCAGGCCTTCCGGAAGTGGGCGCCCGAAGTCTTCAGCGTGAGTTCCGTTTTGTTTCTTGCAGCAAATCAATTCTTAAGAGTGTATAAGTCTCTCAATGAACTTTGATTGATCTATAATACATTGACTTTGGCGCAAGCTACGGAGAAGTATTCCTTCTTGAAAAATGATATTTCAAAACGAAAAAAATATTAATTTTTGTTTTGAATTTTCATTTTTTAAAGAAAAACTCGGAAAAACTAATGTTATACGAAGAAAAACTACACTTGTATTATGCTCGCGCCATTTCTTTCGCAGAATTGGAATTTCTTTCGTTGGGCATTAGTGTTTGAGTTAATTCGAGTCAATTTAATTTTTAAGTTGAGCTGATTTAGGTGAATTTAAGCTTTGACGGGTCCCTTTCCTCGCAGGTGGCCTGCGAGACGTTCTGCCTGGACGACGACGACTCCTTCCTGGAGGCCACCATGGCCTTCAAGTCCGAGAGCATCTCGCCGTCCAGCATCCGGTTCGTCGACGCCGAGCCGCAGGACTTGGATCAGGGTGAGTGGGATGCCGCGAGATGTCTGTAGTAGGCCACAGGGGGCGTACTACTATCCTCACTCTGTACTTTTATTACCCTGTACTTTTCATACCCTGTACTTTTCTTGCCCCGTACTTTTCTTACCCCGTACTTTTCTTACCCAACTTACCCTTACCCAACTTACCCTTACCCAACTTACCCTTACCCAACTTACCCTTACCCAACTTACCCTTCACTTACCTTACCCAACTTACCCTTACCCAACTTACCCTTACCCAACTTACCCTTACCCAACTTACCCTTACCCAACTTACCCTTACCCAACTTACCCTTACCCAACTTACCCTTACCCAACTTACCCTTACCCAACTTACCCTTACCCAACTTACCCTTACCCAACTTACCCTTACCGTCGTTAAGTTTTAAAAATTTCTATGAAAACTTGTTTCTGTTTCTCTTTGAAGCACTGTCCCGCTGCCACAACCGGCGCGTGCGCGCGTGCCCGCTGAAGCGGCGCAGCAACCTGCACGGCAGCAACGCGTCCCGCGCGACGCTGCAGCTGGAGCTGGAGGCGCCGGGGATGGAGTACCAGCCGGGCGACCACGTGGGGGTCTTCGCCATCAACAGGCCGGACCTGGTGGACGGCATCATCGCGCACCTGCAGCAGCCGTGCGACCCGGACAAGGTGGTGGAGCTGCAGCTGGAGAAGGAGAGCCACACGTCCAACGGCGTGGTCAAGTCGTGGGAGCCGCACCCGCGCCTGCCGCGCGTGTCGCTGCGGACGCTGCTGTCGCGGTTCCTGGACGTCACGACGCCGCCGACGCCGCAGCTGCTGCAGTGGCTGGCCACGCAGGCCTCGGACACGGACGAGCAGCGCGCGCTCACGCTGCTGGCCACCGAGTCGGCCGCGTACGAGGACTGGCGGCACTGGCGCTTCCCCCACCTCCTCGAGGTGCTGGAGGAGTTCCCGTCGGTGCGGCCGCCCGCCGCGCTGCTCGTGGCGCAGCTCACCACGCTGCAGCCCCGCTTCTACTCCATCTCGTCCAGCCCGCTGGTGCAGCGCGACCAGGTGCACCTCACCGTCGCCGTGGTCACGTACCGCACCCAGGACGGCGACGGCCCCGAGCACTTCGGCGTCTGCTCCACGTACCTGCAGCGCGCCACCGTCGGCGACGACGTGTACCTGTTCGTGCGGAGGTGAGTGCGGCGGCAGTGTACTGTCTCAATGCACGCCGCACAGTGGGCTGGAAAACCGGCGCAGGCGGCCAAAACTCTAGACGCGTTTTGAGCTCCAGAGTCGCTAAACAGGACTCGAACCGAACGTGTGAACCCACCAATGGATTGCTCTCCGAACGAGGAATCCATTGGTGGGGTCACACATTCGGTTCGAGTCCCATTTAGCGACTCTGGAGCTCAAAATGCGTCTGGAATTTCGGCCCGCGCGCCGGTCTTCTGGCCCACTGTGCGGCGGCAGTGTAGGCCAGCAGACTGATTCCGAGAGTCGTTTTCGTCGCTCTGTCTCTCTCACACCCATACGCGACGCCCCATGAGTGCGAGAGAGACAGAGCGACGAAAGCGGCTCTCGGAATCAGTCTGCAGGCTGCGGCGGGCTGCGGTCGGGATGGTAATTTTATTGATGCGATGTGTTGGCGCGCCTTGCCCGCAGCGCCCCCAGCTTCCACCTGCCGGCGGACACGAGCCGGCCCATCATCATGGTGGGCCCGGGCACCGGGGTGGCGCCCTTCCGGGGCTTCTGGCACCACCGCAAAGCCCAGCTCACCGCCACTGGTAAGCACGCCCGCGAACACACCCCATGCCATTCCGCCTAGGCTGACTCCGAGAGTCGTCTTCGTCGCTCTGTCTCTCTCGCACCGACACGGGACGCCCCATGAGTGCGAGAGAGACACAGCGACGAAAACGACTCTCGGAATCAGTCTGCTACCACTCTCTGGAACCCCCGCAGATCACGCCGCGGACCTGAACCCCACCGTGGGCTCCATGTGGCTCTTCTTCGGGTGCCGCCAGCGCGCCCTGGACCTCTACAAGGACGAGAAGGCCGGCATGCTCAAGGACGGCGTGCTGAACCAGGTGTTCCTGGCGCTGTCCAGGGAGCCGAGCATCCCCAAGGTGAGTCTCTGCGACGGCCGCGCCGCGGCACTACCCCTCGCGCGCGGCATGCCTGCGCGGGGTATCTACGCACACAGCCGCGTCCCCGTCCGCTCTGGCGACTTCCAGCTCGCTCTGGGTCCCGCCAGCCAACCCACCAGTTTACCCAGGACTCAGTTGAACTCATAGGGCTCGGCCCAACTCAGGTGGTACCACTGAGCTCGAACGGAACGGGGCTCGAGTCCTGCGTCGCATTTCCGCGGCCCTTGACGACGCGGGGACAGTTCCGACACATTCTAACTAGAGTTCTGAATACACGTTGACATTTAAAGGGGGCAAACCCGCACGATTTGACCCAGGCCCGTTGTCAGTTAGGGCGGGCCAGATAGGTTGGCCCCAGACCACCTGCTCAAAAATGAGTTGGTCGCAAATTTCCGGCGGCCCTTGACGCGCGGGTTGCAGCGTTACGTGCAGTCTTACAATTCGCACGGGGGCCCGTGGGAAAAAACCCCGGGAAGGCCTTTGGTTTTGCCCCAGGAGGGCCCGGCCAACCCCCTTTTCCCCCTTTGTGTGCGGCGACTGCACCATGGCGGAGCACGTCTACCAGACGCTCAAGGGCATCATCCAGGAGCGGGGCGCCATGACGGACGCGCAGGTGGAGCGCTACATGCTCAAGCTGAGGGTGAGTGCCAGCCAAGCCCAGCCCGCAGCAGTAGACTGATTCCGAGAGTCGTTTTCGTCGCTCTGTCTCTCTCGCACTCACGGGGCGTCCCGCACAGGTGCGAGAGAGACAGAGCGACGAAAACGACTCTCGGAATCAGTCTGCTGGGCTCGTGCTTGACGTCTTGCTCTTTGCCGGCAGGACGAGAACCGCTACCACGAGGACATCTTCGGCATCACGCTGAGGACGGCCGAGGTGCACAACAGGTCGCGCGAGTCAGCCAGGAACCGCATGGCCTCGCAGTCCCAATAGAAGTTGCGTGTCCGCTCGGCGGGGGAGGCGGGCGAGCTCCGGGACGACGAGCACGACCAAGAGGACGCCCCCCTCCGCGGCAGGGCCGGCAGGACCGCCGCCGCCGGCGGACACCACGCACTCCACGGCAGCCAGAGGCAACGCCTCAACACGGACTAGCCGGCAGTTTGGAGCCACGACGACTCCCAAGTAGAACAGCAAGTCGAATCGAAGACCAGATGAAGTCAAAGGATGTCATTTGGATGTCAAAATGACATCCTTGGACCTCATTATGGCCTCACTTTGACGCTGCTGTGATTTAAAACCGACATCCTTAGACCTCATTATGTCCTGACTTTGTCCTGCTTGTTCTCTTTGGGCATTGTCGGAATTAGTTCAATCTTTGGAAATTCATTTGGAGCACTGGGTCTTCACTCATGCAACAAATGCCATAATTTTGAATACCTGACAATTTAGGAATCTGGAGTTTTCAATTTACGAAGTCTATCTTTTTTTTATGTATACAACAATTGGCTTTGTAGCTGAGTTTATTTTTATTTTGTGTGCGTTTCAAGAGGGCTGGATTGCCTGAGACTCTAATTTCTTAATCATATTTAAAACATGAGCAGCGGGGAAGAATTGGGAACTGGGTTTCTCTAGTTTGGAGGACCTTCAATAATGTAACATAAACGGCGTAGATAGATTTTTTTCATATTTTATTTCTTTATCTAGGTAGTTAATATTCAGATCTTTGACCTGGCCCTGTAGCAATAACTCATTGAGAACACAAAAGGTCCTTTGATAATTGCAAAAGCCCCATTTCTCATATGTACAGGACATATGGTTGGGCAGAAGACCTATGACGCAGGGGGTATTTGATCATACTTGACAAAGTCCTTGCGTCCTTAAACTGTAATTAAAATGTCTTAATCTTTTTCTTCATATTCCTAGGTATCCTTTGTTTTGTCTCTTTGATCAAAATCCCCAAAATTCATCTAATACCTATTGTAATATATTTTTAAGGTCTAGTACATATGTCATTTTTTAATTGTTTACTTCTGATTAAAATTACCTAATTCTGTTCATTTCACCATCTCACCTTTCTCATCCAGCACATGATAGCGACTTTACTTCTTAGAAAATTATTAAATAATTGTTATTTTCTTTTTAACATTATGATTGTTCTCTGTAGTGCAAACTGCATTAAAACAGAGCATGCACTCAAGTCTGCGTTTGTTCCTCTTAAACAAGTGGGTGTAATGAGAAAAGGTTTTTGTCTCTTTTTCATTATCAGCAGTAAGCTTTGAAAAAAATTTTGCACTGAAACTTTCCCTCTCTCTAAATGGTAAAATAAGTTCTCTATAATAATTCATTTAATGTTACTAAGTATAATTAGTGGATCAGCTGACTCTTTCACTTTAAGGGTGAACTTAATGGCCTATACTTGCAATTGAATTCCTTAGACATAAGAAATTCTTCAGTGCAAAGCTGATTTTGAAGTTTCTGGAAACAAAGCGCCAATGTACGGTCAAACAGTAGCTTGAAATGGAGAAATAAAGGTGTCACTACGAGAGCTGGCTCGGCACTCCAGTCAGTCATCCAGTTGGTTGGTCTGTCATGTCTGATAATGAGCTGCATCTCCTCAACTGTGCAGGCACCTTAATACAATCACATTGAGTTAACATATGTCTCTTGTTTAAAGACTTATTGAGGAGCCAACGCAAGGTTTCACTTTTTATTGTGGCAGATGTCTTCCGTACTCAAATGTAAATAAAAAGTAGTTTGGCTGTGACATGGTGAATTTGAGCGATTGAGTGTTTGCAAGGGAGAATGCCGATCAAGGAATTCGTGAGTGTGAGTCTTCTGGTGAATGTTTTAAAATTTTTGCATAACACGATGTCGCATTATATCCTATTTTTCTACTATTTGTTTGGGGGGCTAATTTCCTGTGAAGTCTATTGTATGTTGCATGTTTGTTTTCTATTTGTATTATACTTCTTGTTATTAAATCCTTAATACAAATATTTTAACTTGCTCTGTGATTAGGTAAGCATTTATTTTTTTGAAGGACATATGAAATTAAGTACAAATATAATATATACTGCAGCTTTGAATATCTTCAAGCTTATCTTCTTTGATATATAAGAACCAACTGTGTTTTCATTTGTGTTAGTATTTTTTCTTGTGATTGATGAGCTCTCACTACATAATTTAATATTTTATTAGCCTTCAGGCCAAAAGTCAAAAGCTCCTCATATCATTTTTTAAAAATTACAATACTCTATCATGAGTTTTTAGGTACTTTTTGTAGCTTTTCCTCAATCCATTTTTAAATATCAATGCCTCTATTTTATGTGATCAATTTACTTCGGTTGTGCAATACAAAATGCAGACTTTATCACGTGTTGCTTGTTTGTGCGTAAGATGCGAACAAGGAGGTAAATGATGGTTCTAGTATGACTACTATTACCCACTCTCTTTCTCTTATATGCAAAAGGGTCCTTAAAGGCTAATTGGTTGTTTTTTATTCTACTATGGATCTGCTGGTTTTGAAGCAAACGTTAGCATAGGATGTTGATTTTTACTTCATAAGCTAACTAATGTAGGTAAGAATTTTGCTACAGCTTCTTGCCAAAGTTCTGCATAGAGTTGGCATTCTATGAAAACAAAAAGGAAAAAAAAACACATTGTGATATTGTACTATATGTGAGTGCTACTTTGTGCTAATGTTATTACCTGACCTGTAAGTAGTGACTATGTTTGCAACATTTGTGTATCAAATCTTCTTGTTCCTATGAATAAGTTCTTCAAATTGGCTTTATGGAGTTTTGATAAGTGTATTACCACATCATGTTAAAGCATGAGACCCCTGGTCTCATGGTTAAAGCTAAGTCACAAATAAGATTGATGTTTTTATTCCTTTATTTCAAATTCCTGATCTTTCATTCTTATTGCCACCATCACCAGCACATACGAATGGACATAAAACACTGCTCAACCTGAAAACCAAAATCCCATTCTTAGCTAGATGTCCCTGAAGATGTGGTCAAACTAGAAGGTCGCAATGAATCTCAGGGTTCATTATTAAGGGAGGCCAAGGTTGAATGAAAATTTTCAAAAACCGCCAGAAGGCACGGGAGAAGTAGGCAAACCGTCGCACTCCAATCGCGACCCCATTAGGACTCAACGAGTGCGATGGAAAAAGCCATTTGCGCCAAGTTTTAACTCGTCAAAGACGAGCAGGCACTTACTTCACTCTAGACGACATTCCACATCAAATTAGGCAAAATCCGAGACGGTCGACGATTCTGATTGTCTGCGAGCCAGTCAGACGCAGAACGCCGGCAGCTTAGGCAACCCAACTGACAGCGAGGGGACGAGGGAACTCCCCGCTGCTTCTTCCTCATCTTCCTCTTCCATTCGTACTCAACTGTTTCCCCCTCCCCTACCCGACCCGACCCGTCGTCATCAACAACAACAAACCCGCCGACACGAGTTGTTAGGTTAAGTCGCAAGTCCGGCAGTTTGACGTGTGAACATGAGTACTTTTACGGACGTTCAAATCAGAAGCATCGGTGGTGTCCTGAACGACCCGGACCGTCCCCTCAAGGAGCGTTTTAGAGCGCTGTTTACTTTGCGCAATATTGGCGGTCCCATTGCACAGGAGTGCATCAAGCAGTGCTTCTCAGATTCGTCTGCTCTGCTCAAACATGAACTGGCATATTGCTTAGGACAGATGCAGGATCATGCTGCCATCCCTACACTCATCTCTGTTCTGCGGGATGTTTCCCAAGAACCCATGGTTCGACATGAAGCGGGTAAGGACTTCTTTGCCTGGTTTGTGGAAGCTCATGGACACCAATAACCTCAAATTACAATGAAATTAGTTTCCTCCACAAAATCTACAAAACCTGTTCGGAGGTCTATTTAGTTCGCAAACTGACAGGTGAAGTCTTTTTGATCCCACTCAACCAACTCTTTTGTGTTGTCTTTTTCAGGTGAAGCTTTAGGCGCTCTTGCTGCGCCTGATGTTCGAGCAATCCTCGAAGAATTTAAAAACGATCCCATAGTTGAAGTGGCTGAAACGTGCACTCTGGCTTTAGATCGCTTGTCATGGCTTGAAAAGCATACTGAAGACGGGCTTAAAGAAAATCCTTATCAGTCTGTTGATCCTACTCCACCATCAGAAGAGACAGATGTGAACAAGTTGAGGGATATGTTATTGAACGAAAATGAATCTCTCTTCAATCGTTATCGTGCAATGTTTGCTCTTCGTAATCTTCGTTCAGAAGATGCTGTTTTAGCTTTAGCTGATGGTAGGTACCAATCGATTTGCTCTGTACCTATTTGGTCACTACTTGGTCAATCTCATATCTATATCCCATGCCTCTGTCTTTTTCAGGGCTGAAGTCTGGTAGTGCCCTCTTTAAACATGAGGTTGCCTTTGTGCTCGGACAGCTCCAAGATCCTGTATCTGTTTCCGCCCTTTTAGAAAGCCTTGCAGATAAGAGTGAGAATGAAATGGTAAGACATGAATGTGCAGAAGCTCTGGGAGCAATTGCCACTGATGTTTGTAATGCAGAGTTGAAAAAACATTTGAATGATGAGAAACGGGTTGTAAGTGAAAGTTGCGTGATTGCACTTGACATGTGTGAGTATGAAAACAGCCCTGAATTCCAGTATGCAAACACACTTTTGTCGGTGCAGTAATGTAAATACAAAACCATCATTTCGTAATGCAGTTTTACTAGACCTATGGAATGAATTTGTCCTTTTATGTGATATTATGTAACATGTTCCTTAATACAATAAGTTTTTCCCTTTGAGTCTTCTTTGACATGGATAAGAAGGGTGTTTGGTTTGTCTGGGGGATGATGGGGATGGTATGGATGATATGAGTGTTATTTTTGTCGGTCATTACATAAGGATGCTGGAGGAAAAGGCAGGCAGTATTTTGCTAATCTTAAAATATCATGAAATCTATGTCTTAATGTAGAAAAAAAAAAACGATTTTTCCTCTCTTCAATTCTAATTACGAAAGTGGACAACACAGTATGTTTTTTAATGTTAAAACAAATGATTGGGATCTCTGATAGAAAGAAAATAAGATAAAGAGCTCTCTGGAAGAATTGACTTTCTCTTGATTGCTATAATGTTTCCGATTTTAATTTTTGTAAAAGGTGTGCTCTACTTGATAATGTTGCCGATTTTAATTTTTGTAAAAGGTGTGCTAATGTTTCCGATTTTAATTTTTGTAAAAGGTGTTTTTGTATATTGTGACAATGTTGCTGTACTGTACCAAAAATGGACGAATGAACAAGACAATACAACATTTACACGTTTGAGGTTTGTCATTTTTTTAGAAATAAATTATTGCAAAATGGGGTCTAAGTCCATCATTTTACTTTCATTTTCTTAAGTTCAAAAGCCTAGAAATAACTTAAGTTATTAAGCGCACGGTCGCAGGCCCGTGTGCAAATCTCGGCTGGGAGCTTACGGTTTCCGCCGCAGCAGCGTGTCAAAAGGGTGGCTTACCTTGAAGGCGCGGCTCTTCGAAAGGGAACCTAGATGTAGAAGAGCAAACCCTTGACTCCCCCCAAGAACGTCACTACATCGTGCTCCCCCTAAGCGAGGCGTTCTGTTGTACCGTGCAAAAGTGGTGGCCTACCTTGGGGGCGCGCCCCTTCTGTTACGGGCGCCTTTCGCCTCCAAGGTGCAAAAGAGTTCCCGCCGTCGGCTCCCACCCCCCCTACCCCCCCTCCCAGAAGGAGAGGTGAGTAGAGGCAATCATAAAGGGTTAGTAACCTGACCTGGCTGGTGGCGAACCAGGTCCAACGGGAATCAGTATGCTGCCGCATGGCCTCCACGGCCCATCGCTCTGCCACATGAGCTACGGCAACACACCTGTCGGACCCGTCCTATCTTAGAGTGATGGTACCGGGTTCGAGAGGTAAATTGAGGAAAAGATTCGCTCACCTGGGAGTCGAACCCAGGTCCTTTCTCCCGCCGGCCGACACCTCTCCCATCTCAGCCACCGAGTCACTACGAAGTGGCGTGATCAATCTTAGAGTGATGATACCGGGTTCGAGAGGTAAACTGAGGAAAAGATTCGCTCACCTCGGAGTCGAACCCAGGGCCTTTCTTCCCGCCGGCCGACACCTCTCCCATCTCAGCCACCGAGTCACTACGAAGAGACGTGATCAATCTTAGAGTGATGATACCGGGTTCGAGAGGTAAACTGAGGAAAAGATTCGCTCACCTGGGAGTCGAACCCGGGGCCTTTCTCCCGCCGGCCGACACCTCTTCCATCTCAGCCACCGAGTCACTACGAAACGGCGTGATCAATCTTAGAGTGATGATACCGGGTTCGAGAAGTAAACATTGAGGAAAAGATTCGCTCACTTGGGAGTCGAACCCAGGGCCTTTCTCACGTCGGCCACGTTATGTACCACCTCAACCACACGGCAACTGCGAGGGGCCGCGATCAATTTGAGAGTGGTGATACCAGTTATGAGAAGTAAACTGAGGAAAAGATTGACCCGCCCGGGAGTCGAACCCGGGACTGCCCTCTCACCGACCGAGTCTTGTACCATCTCAGGCACCAAGCAACTGCGAGTGTATGCGATCAAATCCCTAACATTGATCTGATCCCACTTGCATTAGAGGCGTTATGAACCGAGCTGCAAGTGGCTCGAAGCGCAGCATCGACGAAAAAGCATCGAGGTGCCTTCTTCCCTTGGCGTGCCGAAAGGGTGGCCTACCCTCCCGGCGCTGTGCAACAACAGCAATAAAGAGTGTAGAACGAAACTGTGGTCTAGGCAACCCCGGGAATCGAATCCAGGGATACTATTCGATTCCGACCGACGCTTTTCCCCTGTCGGTCATCCTATTCAACTTAATGAGCAGCGCGATCAATCCTAGAGTAATGATTGCGCGAATAGGTCTCGGTTTTGACGCGCTTCCGCTGGGATTGTCGTTCTTATTTCTTTATCCTTTCTTTGGCACAGCGCCTGGAAGGTAGACCAACAATCTGACATGTCACAGGGAAGACGTGTGTATTGCTGTGCGGTACAGTCACGCCTGGGAATCGAACTCAAGGCTTTCATCGGGATGGCCGCTTGTAGCCAAAATTTTGAAGGATATTTTTGTGTTATGTTTTTTTTTAATGGCCCACATTGTTATTATTATAGTTTTTTATTACAAACATTTAAAAGATACATACATAACTATGACATAGAACAATGATAAAAATACATTTTACAGATTGTTCTGTACATTTTTGAAGAAATCTAAGATTATGTCAATTGCTCATTATCTTTGGTATGGACTAGCAGTCAGTAGGTCTAAAACAATCTTCTGTTGATCATTTGCCACTGGCTTTCACAATTCAAAGCACTTGAATATAGTGCAGTGATAGACGTTTACCAATTAAGACAGCACATTTTGTCCGCCATTCATGCTTGCCAGAACTGAAAGTGGCTTGTTTGGAAAGTTTTACTATCCAATAGCACAGATAAAAATAGAAAGCGAAATTCATTTGTCTATGGTACATGACAACAAATTGAATACATACACAAAATAAATTTCTTTAAAAACACTGCAAAACGGTAACTTCATATTTAAAAGAGGAAAAATAATGCTCACCAGTAAGTTAGATTTACTGTGAAAACTTATCATTAAACATTTAAATTAAAACAACTACACACAATAAAACTTAAATAATGCTGATAAAACACTAGTAATTAATGGTGATAAGCTATCTTTGGGAAAGGAAAGTAGAATGTGTCAATGAAAGAAGTGCAGTGGTAAGTGTAATTCTGCACATCTGTACTTACTGCGTACCTCATACATTTTAACACAATGGTACATTAATTAAAAATTTGAATTGTCTTCACTTAACAATTGTCGAATGAAATTTCCATATTTCATTTACAAGCAGTATTTCTGTCTTTGTCGTGACTTTTACTTCCAGTGAAAAGTTGGGAGTGCCATACCAAAAAGAATTCAATGCCACAAAGCACCAACTTGAATCAATAACTACCACAATAAACTCCTGGCTTGTAATCAATGGGGTCCATTGCCAATTTACATGGTCACATTATTGACAATTAGTTATTAACAAGCGCATTTATCTATACTTGCCCACGAACTAGAAGCCCAAAACAATTATTACACAAGGCAAGAATGATGTGGGAAGTGGGATCTACCTCTAAAACTTTCACTCAGGTACTTAGGTGTAGCCTTTAGGGCATCAAAAATACAATTTTATGCCTGAAAGGAACATGCAGAGAAATCAAAGCCGTGACTGGTTGAACTGTCAGCCTCGGCGAGAACTCCTCGTTCAATTGCTTCTGAGAGTTGCCCAAAACTCTTGTCGCATTATATTAAAACAATTTAAAAATGCAAAGAGCTCTGGAAAAAAAAAAATTAAACAATGTTAGTAAAATAAAGTTAATGAGCCACTATCACAAAGTTGCCTCCAAAATTAAATCATCTGATCCTCTCACCTGGGAATCATATATAAAAGTAGTTTTCATAGTCTGCAAATGGAGACGAAGTTGATGGTGCAGTGGAAGACAGCGGCAACATTCCTCGACTATTGAGGGGGGTTGAACTTGGTATAGATGCAAGCTCTGGGCTCCATGGTGTTTGCTGAAAGCAAAATAAGTAAACATTTGAGACACTGGGCAACAATTTGTTTAAAAAAAAATTAAAAATAATAAAATTTGGGAGCAAACAAGGCATAGAAGCCTATTTCAACATACCTTTCCCCGTCGCATTCTGTAATCTGTGTTTCTGCGTACTAGAAAGTGAAGCTGGTGCTGTGGTAACCAAGCCTGTTGAACTCGCAGAGGATGGTCATCAGGGTGAAGTTTGCGCTGGTACTCTTGGGAGCTGTTCACTTCATAAAGTGAGAACTGCTCTACTCGCTCCTTGCTGTTGTAGCAATTCAGCAAAATCTGAAGCAGCTCATCTACTGTAGTCCGCTCAGAGATCAATAGGCTTTTGTACTGGGACTGCAAACAGAAAAACACAAATGAAAAATTCTGCTTTTAAAAAAAACGACAAATGAAAATCTACACAACAGTGCTGAACTCACCCCAGGCATGACTGCACTATCGTAGATTTTGACTAAACCACCACGTCTTGTCTGGAGAGCAAATCTGCGTAAAAAGAAAGAGAGAATTAGTTTGAAAAGAAAATGAAAGTGAATTTACGCGTGTTCTCCAAAAGGACGACACGATGCTCACAGGCTTTGAAATGGCTGCTAAGAATTTCCTCATTTCCCCCATCCCCTCCCCCCAAAAAATAGTTTTAAAAATTACATGATAAAATTAATTTTTTTAAACAGAAATTAAAAGTGAGTCCATTTCAACCTCCATTTGACCCACTTTTGGACCCCAATTTCGACGGGTTCTACAAATTTGCTGTACCTGGAGTCTCCGGTGGGGTGGCACGCCTGCAGGGCGGCGGGCCTGGCCTCCTCGTCCAGCACCAGCACGGTGCGCACGCCCGCCCTCCGCACCGTCACCTCCATCGTGAGGAAGAAGAGGTTGGGGTCGCGGTGCCGCATCCGGTACTTGGACAGGAGGGCCTCCACCACCTCGCGGCACGTCGTCTGGAACGTGATGCCCAGCGTCTTGTACTCGATGTCGGGCCGCAGGCAGCGCGCGTACACCTTCACCGTCGTCGTCTGTGGGCAGAGGGAGAAGATACAGGGGTGTCAGTGGCGGTCGACACAAACAGTGGTCTCGGGTTCAAAAACCTAAAAGGGTAAAAGATGATTATTGGTCGTGACAGAGCGGTCCCGCGGGACTTCCCCCTGGCGCCCTGCGCTCTATCGCGCTCTGTCTCCCTCGCACTCGTAAGGGCTTCCCGCGTAGGTGCGAGAGAGACAGCGCGGCGAAAGCACTGTCCGGAATCAGGCCTGCTGGGCACACTCGTGACGACCGGATCAACACACTCGCCCTTGCCCGGCCTTGTCGGACTCGTCCAGTCGGACTCATCCCCAACGAGATGACCATGACCGTCTCGGTGAGGGGCGTCACTCGCGGCCCGGCTCACAGTGGGCCAGAAGACCGGTGGAGGCGGCCAAAACTGTAGACGCGTTTTGAGCTCCAGAGTCGCTAAATGGGACTCGAGCCGAACGTGTGACCCCCACCAATGGATTGCTCTCCGAACGAGGAATCCATTGGTGGAATCACACGTTCGGTTCGAGTCCCATGTAGCGACTCTGGAGCTCAAAACGCGTCTTGAGCTTTGGCAGCCTCCATCGGTCTTCTGGCACACTGTGCGGCTGCCCGGCGGCGGCCTTTCCGAGGCCCGCGGTGCAGAGGACAGCGTCAACGCTCGGGGGTAATTTGAAATACCTCCTCACCAGTTTTATTATGAGACCCCCCCCCCTTTCCCCTTTTCCTCTCATTATTCACCGCTCCTTTTGAATGGGCCGCGGCGCGGTGCCCCCTCCACCCCTTTCTAAACAAACAATCACAGACAGGCCTGTCTGATGAGTGGCTCGGAATGCCTTGCCGTGGCCTGCCACCTCTCCCCAGTCGGCCGGCCGGCCGGCCTCGTGGGCTTTGGGCCCTTTAGGCCCTTCGGCCGGCCAAACCGCAAGGCCAAGGCCTGGCCGAGCTGGCCTAGCGCCCCGGAGACAGCCTTCACTGCTGGCCACGACGGCGGAGGCCGCGTTGGCTGCCTGCCTCGGACGCGGCCTCGGGTAACGCACCGCCACGGCATGCAGCATGGCGCCTGGCGCCGCCACGCCCCGCCCCGCGCCGTCTGGCCCGCGCAGCGCGGTAGCAAGTACCGCGTCTGCGTTCCCAGGCCGTCACATACCCCTCAGCTCCGCACAGTGGGCCAGAAGACCGGTGAAGGCGGCCAAAACTCTCGACGCGTTTTGAGCTCCAGTGTCGCTAAATGGGACTGAAACCGAACGTGTGACCCCACCAATGGGTTGCTCTCCGAACGAGGAATCCATTGGTGGGGTCACCTGCTCGGTTCGAGTCCCATTAAGCGACTCTGGAGCTCAAAACGCGTCTAGAGTTTTGGCCGCCTCCGCCGGTCTTCTGGCCCACTGTGCTCCGCCCGCTCCGCCCGCAGCGCGTTGAAGTCGCGCGCAGCACGCACGCCGGACGCATTTAGGCCGCAGCCCAGAGCGCGTCAAACCAGCCAGACTCGTTACCGTATTGTTTGTTTTGGTGGGGCCGAATGGCGGGGCGTGCATAGCGGGCTGGGTGCATGACGCAGTGTCCAACGTGCAAACGGAGTGGAAGTGGAATGCCTTCCGGGCGCCACCAATGGGCGCCACCGCCACTCACTCATGCACGTACGCACACACATACACACACAAACACAAACACACACACACACACAGAGAGAGTCACGCAAAAACCAAAACAACGAGAGTAAACTGGGCTAAAGCTCGATGTAAGTCGGCGCACTTCCGGTGGTCACCCAAGCCCGCCCCCGCAGCGACTTCGCTTTGACGCTCGGTTGACGGCGAAGCCGAAGCCAAGGCGGGGCGGGGCGGGGCGGGGTGGGGCGAGGCGGGGCAGCCGAGGAAGAGGTGTGCCTGCCTAATGGGCCGTGGAAACGAACAAAACGGGGCGGAAGAGGAGACAGCGAGAGAAGGGAGGGCAGAGGGCAAGGGAGAGGGAGAGACAGAGAGGAGGGAGAGAGGGAAAGCCCAGCGGCTCGGCACTGCTTCGCGCTGCTCGGCACGCCCTGGAAGGGTTTCCCGAAGGAAGGGCAGGGAAGGGCGACGGTGGACATCCGCAGGGCGGCGCGGCACAAGCCAGGCCCACGTCGGGGCGGGGGCGGGCAGGGTCGCCGTCGGGCAGGGCGGACGGGGCGGACTGGCCGATGGCGAAACCCGATAGGCGCACCGCCGCGTACGTACCGTACAGCCTACCCGAGGGTCTTTTCCGTCGCTCTGTCCCTCTCGCACCTAAACGGGACGCCCCACGAGTGCGAGAGAGACAGAGCGACGAAGACGACTCTCGGAATCAGTCTGCGGAGACTGCCGAGGCCGCCAACGGCCAAGGATTCACCGACTGCCGAGGTTTGGCGAGCTCCGCGTTTGGCGCACTCGGCCGCAGATAAACAGGGTGACACAAAGGCCGCCATCCCCTTCTTGCCTCTCGCTTCCATCCCCATCCATCTGATAATGGGCGCGACAGGAAGCCGAGCTTTGCTTGTCGTTTTTGTTTTCGTCGAATTCCAGTCACGCGCCGCGTCCTTCCAACTCGCTTCTCCAGCTCCAGGACTCCAGCAGACTGATGTTGCGAGTCGTTTTCGTCGCTCTGTCGCTCTCGCACCTATACGGGATGCTCCGTGAGTGCGAGAGAGACAAAGGTACGAAAACGACTCACGGAATCAGCCTGCAGGGGTACACTCTACCAAAAATGTCCTGTAAATGCCGTTAATTTATTACCAGTTTTCACTGTAGGTCAATTCACAGCGTTTGCTGTGAACTAGTTCACGGCGTTCACTGTGATCTCGGTTACAGTGTTCACTGTGATCTGGTCCCCAGTAAACACTGTGAGTTTGACGCCGCTGAGCACCGAAGTACTGCAAATCAGGCTCCAATTCACGGCGTTTACTGTGGCCAGATCACAGTGAACACTGTAACCGAGATCACAGTAAACGCCGTGAACTAGTTCACAGCAAACGCCGTGAATTGCATAACAGCAAACATTGGTAATAAATTAACGGCGTTGACAGGACATTTTTTGTAGAGTGTACAGCGGGCAGAGTCCAGTGTATGAGTCTAGGACTCACTCTAGGGCCACAGCTAGCCGCGTCGGCCAGGATGGACGAAAAGCACGCCCTGCAGGCTGATTCCGAGAGTCGTTTTCGTCGCTCTGTCTCTCTCGCACTCACGGGGCATCCCGTATAGGTGCGAGAGAGACAGAGCGACGAAAACGACTCACGGAATCCTTCTGCTGCTGATGCACGCGGCAGGCCGCGGGCGACGGGGCGATGCTCACCCGTGAATACAATAGCCACACGTGGGCACACGTGGCTCGCCACGGCACACTCCACACATGCAGATGAGCCAACTCCCTTCACACCTTGGGCACACCACTGGAAGTACCTATAGTACGCCCCACACCGTAAGGCAGCGCGAGGTACTCAGACAGACAGACAGACAGACAGACAGACAGGCAGACGATACACGCACATGAGAGAGAGAGAGAGAGAGAGAGAGAGAGAGAGAGAGAGAGAGAGAGAGAGAGAGAGAGAGAGAGAGAGAGAGAGAGAGAGAGAGAGAGACCTGAGTGGCAATCGCAGCAAGCGGCGGCCCACCCCTACACTGTAGCGCGGCGGTACGGCAGGTGCGCCAACCGCGCACGCGTCATTACACGTGTAAATACCTGCATACCTGCAGCACAGTGCAGCAGGCTGCAGTGACGCCACCTTGACATCAAAGTGCTGTTCCACGTAATTAGGGCCTCTGTCTGTCTGCCTGCCTGCCTCTGTCTGTCTGTCGCTTGTTGGTCCTGGAGAAAGCAGAGGCCGCCGGCACGCGACACAGGAGTGACACTGCAGCGACCTCCACCTACACTGGCAAACGGGTGACCGGACACGGTGAATGGATGGAAGAACGTTCCAGCCTAAGACTCTAGTGACCCTAGAGGCTACCCACCCGGCGGAAATCACACAGGACACCTTTGCACGGAAGCCCCGGGCGGCACCATCAAACCGACAAAACGACGCTCGTGCCCTCCAGAGCACTCCAGCAGACTGATTCCGAGAGTCGTTTTCGACTCTCTGTCTCTTTCACGCCCTCACGGGACGCCCATGAGCGCGAGAGAGACAGAGCGACGGAAACGACTCTCGGAATCAGTCCTCTGCCCCCTCAGAGGCACCAGGGGGAAGGAAGCGACAATCAACAATCAACCACCTGTACTGCAGAAAAAATCAATTTAACCTGAGCTGGCCTCACACCTGGAGTCCCGGACGGTCCTGGACCCGCAGCACGTGCTGCAGACGGCCTTCAGCCGGAAGGGCCCCAGATTGGCGGCCGCTCCGTCTCTCTCGCACCTGTTGGACGTCCCGCAGGCCGCGTGGGTGCGAGAGAGACAGAGCGAGGGGCCTGATGCGGATCAAGGCGGGGATCAACGCCGGCAGCACGCACCAACCCGGCCTGCCCTGCCCCAGCTGGCCCGCAGCAGACTGACGCCGAGAGTCGTTTTCGTCGCTCTGTCTCTCTCGCACTCATAGTGCGTCCCGTGCAGGTGCGAGAGAGACAGAGCGACGAAAACGACTCCCTGAGTCAGTCTGCAGCAGCAGGACTATCTGCTTGTTGAGCCCCGTGACGGCCCGACGGCATGCCGGCGTGACACCTGCAGCTGTTGTTTTGGCCCCACTGCACTGGTAATCATGGCGGCATTAGCGACGGCACAGGTGGGCCCGGCACAGGCCAAGCCGCCTCTCTGGCCGCCACTGCACTCCTCGCACACGCCGCGGCAGTGCAGCATTGCAGCAGTGCAGGTAGGGTTAACGAGGGGATGCACGGCAGGGCACGGCAGGGCACGGCACGCCACGCCATGGCACGCCACGCCATGGCACGCCACGGCGCGTGCTCCAACACGTGCAGCGTCCTGGCCGTCCGGATGCACGGGATCGAGGGGGTATGCGCTCTCCGAACCTGTGTACCGACTATTACGCTATTACGCTCTATTACGC